AGTTTCTACGTTGACGATTTGGTCTCTAGTGTGTCAAATGCCTCGGAAGCCAAGGAGATGCAAGAGTTCAGCGTGCGTGTGCTTACGGATGCTGGCAGGGAGTTACGCAAGTGGCGAGGCAACGAAATCCCGTGCGATCCAGAGGCCGGAGATAAAGTCCTCGGTCTGAAATGGAAAACCAGTGATGACTTGCTCAGCATAGCAGCGCTAGGCGAGTCCGATAGGCCGTCTGTTTGGACCCGGCGAGCCCTCCTCAAGTGTGTTGCATCAGTGTTTGATCCGCTAGGTCTAGCAGCACCGGCAGTTGTGCCGGGAAAGATACTGCTACAGCAAGCCTGGAAAGTCGGAGGCGACTGGGATGATATGTTGCCTGATGGCATCGCAGCCGCATGTGCGCAATGGTGGGGAGAGTTGGCCGAAGTGGTGAGCATTGAAATACCACGTTGGATTTGCTGCAATCTTGACACGCCGATTGCGCTTCATGCCTTCGCCGATGCCAGTGAGAAAGCGTTTGGATGTTGTTTGTATGCAGTCGTCAATGGACAGTCGCACTTGGTATTTGCCAAGGCCAAAGTGTCACCTGTGTCTCCGCCCACGTTAGCCCGCCTTGAGTTACAAGCAGTATGTTTAGCGGCTCGCTACGCTGAGTTTGTGGTGAAGGAGCTGCGTGTTACCGTCACGCAAGTCTATGGCTGGACTGACAGTCTCACTACCGTTCATTGGATCAGTAATCCATCGTACAAATGGAAAACATTTGTGGCTAACCGCGTCAGTCAAGTCCAAGAGATATCGAAGAAGGTCGGCATTGTGTGGAACCATTGCCCGGGCCTTCACAACCCAGCAGATTTACCGTCGCGTGGGAGTAGTGCACAGCAGATCCGTAGTCCGTTCTGGAGGGGCGGACCAACCTGGATCACGGAGCCCAATGACTGGCCCACCGCATCCTCAACCGCAGCTACAGATGAGTCCAGTGTAGAAGTACGAGTGTCAGCCACCACCTGTAGTCGAGAATCTGATAAGGAATGGTGGCTCCGATTCAGTAAATGGTCGAGGGCACAGGGCATGGTGACTCGGATGTTGCAGTGGAAGCACACTGAGCCTCGTGCTGAACTCTATTTTGCAGCAGACAACGTATTGTACCGCATCGTTCAAGCCGCATGTTTCGCTGAGGATCTTGAGCTGATCAAGCAAGGTCAACCAGTGAAGCCCGGGTCGAAGGTGTATCAGCTTGCACCGTTTCTGGATGAGCATGGAGTGCTCAGAGCCGGGGGACGACTTCAGCACAGCGAGTTGGCGTATGGAGCCAAGCACCCAGTCCTGTTAGGCAAACATCATCTGACCGATTTGCTGTTGGAGAAAATGCATGTTGAAAGGATGCACCAAGGTGTAGAAGGAGTCTTGTCGTTTATCCGTCAGAAATTCTGGATTATCGGTGGTCGACGAGCGCTACGCAACATTACTCAGCGATGTGTTACATGCCGCCGCTACAAGGCTAAGGCTGCCTCAGAAGTCTGCCCGCCGCTGCCAGAAGACCGAGTTGTTCACGAGAGGCCGTTCGCAACTACCGGCATCGACTATGCTGGTCCGTTGTACGTGCGCCGTGGTGAGTCATCTCCGAAGGTATGGATAGCATTGTTTGTGTGTGCCACCACCAGAGCAGTTCACTTGGAGGTGGTCGATAGTTTAAGTACCGAGTCATTCTTGATGGCATTTCGGAAGTTTGTCGCGAGACGTAGTTTGCCGTCTCGGATCAGGTCTGACAACGCTACAACGTTCAAGGCGGCATCTGACAAACTGAGTGTGCCATGGATGTTCAATCCTCCAGCTGCACCATGGCATGGAGGCTTCTATGAGCGAATGGTTGGTACAGTGAAGAGTGCCTTGAAAAAGGTAATGGGAACAGCGTTTCTGAAGGTTCAGGAGCTTGAGACCATCTTGTATGAGGTTGAAGCAGTGGTGAATAGTCGTCCGTTAACTTATGTGTCTGATAGCCTGGATGAGCCACCAGTAACCCCTGCAATGATGATGGGTAACATTTGGATGTCGTCAGCGAAGCCAGCAGGTACCCCGGACGCTACGCATATGTCAGCGAGATTGCGTTACCTCAGTCAGACACTGAAGCATGTCAAGAATCGTTGGGAGGTGGAGTACCTAAGTCAGCTGAACAAGCACCAACAGACCACGTCGCGCCCTTTAGCTGTGGGTGATGTTGTCTTTGTTCTCGATGATACCAAGCGCAAACAGTTCTGGCGTTTGGGACGGATCATCGAGTTATTCCCTGGTCGAGATGGCAAGCGTCGTGTTGCCAAGGTTAAGTTGAGTACCAGTACCCTGTTGAGGCCGATCCAAAGGTTAGTGCCATTAGAAGTATCGTCACAGGACGTGGCTCCTGGGCTTGCCGATACCGCTCAACCTGCTATCGTCCCTCAGCAGCCAGCGTATGAACCGCCAGCACCGTTACCACCACCACGGCAGCAGGAGATGACGCGTTCTGGGCGCGTAGTCAGAGCCCCGGATCGTTTTTGACTTGTGTGCATTGTTGTACGGCGGTGAGAAGCCCTTTGGTGGGGAGAATGTTGTAAACCACCAGTTCTCAATTGGGAAAGGCCTTCGCGCTTATGGCATTGTATTCGTCGCAATGGTGTCTTTCGACTCCGCCGTACCGCTGATGTTGCTGCATGGCATACGCTATATGCGTTGTGTGCGTTTTGCTGTATACGCTGTTATGTCCAGTTTTATATGCTTATGTTTTGCATGTACGCTGTTTTCTGCATGCTATAAATAGCTGGTGTTATTAGTGTTCATTGTTAATTATCAGATGAAGTGAAATATACTGTGTAAAGGATAAGAGTTGTCCTCGTGCCGTGTGGTCGTACGATCCTGACAATTTAGAGAATCTTAGAGGGTTCACAACACTGTTGATACCAACACCTGGACAGTTGGCAATCTACTAATACAATGTCATATGGAGTAAAACCCCTTTTTTTGTCCTCTTATTGTTTGAACTAGCTCTGCCTCTCCGTATTGAGCACTCTCTTGGACAGCCTGGAACCTCTCTGTTTTACTAACATTGAAACATTGTCCAGGTACTAATTTCAGAAATTTTAGGTGCTCAATATTTCCGGTATGAGGGCAAAAGTCCAGGTTAGGTGAACAGAAATTTCAGGTACAGAGAAGCAATTCCCTATTGGATTATTATGTGTGTTAGTGTTTGTTTGGTGTATTCAAATTTTAGGTATGAAACAGACGCACCGAAAGTACCGAAAATAAAAGTAAATCGAAAATTTGTGAAATTACAGTATTATATGTGACTAGCTCTTGGATGTCCATTTCATCGTTGAAAACACGATACTAGTACAGTTGAACATCGATTATCCGACCACCTCTGGGCAGACAACTGTCAGGCGGTGTTCAGATAAGGCAAATGTTCCGGATAAGAAAACACACTGTAAATACATGTACATGTACATTGTAAATAGAATAGAGTGCTACTTTTCAAAATTTTCGTATTTTTTTGAATGGCTCACTACATGCACAGTGCGTACTCTACGGCACGTGCGCCCAAAAAAACTGTTACGGATAATCGAATGGTCGGATAGTCGATGTGCGGATAATTGATGTTCAACTGTAGTTTGTTCCCGATCCCGTGTAAATGCATCTCCAGATCCTCAAATCAAAAGTCACCAGTCGCATCCCGAAACAAATCACCGAAGTACCAGAATAAAATTGCTTGCTCTCAGCAGTCCACTGGCACTTCATTGTTGGAAAAGAACACTATTCACATTTCACCTCAAATCAAAAGTTTGTACAGTCGTCCCACTCTAATCCGGCACCTTTTGCAACAGCATTTTCTGCTGGATAAACAAGGGTGCTGGATTATCAAATCCTGCCCTCCAACCCGGCCCACCTGTTAGCGTACATGTTTGTGTCGTACGTCAAAACGTAGGGATTTTCTGTGTCAATCCAAGCACTTTGTGGAATGCATGTCTTCAACATACACTTGGGAATATCCTATGCACTGGCATAGGATATTCCCAAGTGTATGGTACATGTGTTGTGTATGTTACAATGCTCCCTGACCGTGTGCGATGTACAACTGCTGGATTAGAAAATCGAATTATGTACAGTTTGAGTGATTTGTTGCAGAAAATTGCTGCTGGAGGCGGAATTCAAGTGCCGGATTAAAGCGTAGAAAATGAACTGAAAAATCCGTTTTCCAAAAAAGTGTGCTGGTTTGCAAGGGTGTTGGATAAACAAGTGCCGGATTAGAGAGGGTCGACTGTAGTCAAAAAATCCGGCACAAGTACAACAAACCATCACCAACCACTGCACTTTCAAAACTCAAAAGGTGAATCGGGTGGCTTTGGGGTCACAGGTTCCCCCTCAGAATAGCAGGGGCAGTGATTCTGAGTTTTTCCCGGATGCAGGAACATAGCTTTTTGCCTTTGCTGTGGATTTTTTCAAATATTTTAAGCATCGCTTTGCGGGCAGTGTCGCCGTAAAGAGTGCATGTGTGACCAGGCTCAAAGTACAGTTCTGCTCAATGAAATCCAGTCGATGCAATCATGTATGCGCCGGGCGTTGCGCAGCCCTGGACCTGCGAACGCTGGGCTGAGAAATGGTGCACGGCGCACTGAACTTGAGTGACGCGACTGGATTTCATCGAGCAGGACTGTACATCAGCCTAGTGTCGGCATGGCAGCTCACCAGCACACCAGCCTAGTGTCGGCATGGCAGCTGACCAGCACACCATTTCTACTTTGGTACGATACTTGAACTTGTCTTGTCTCGTTTTTAATTCTTTTACAAAAAGCCACCTACGTGTACATGTACTGTGAATGGAGAAGAGATGGATGCGGTGGAGAAGAGGCTTAGCCATGTAGCTGAGCTGACCAAATCCTCTCGGCTTCCTCACAGACAGGACGCTCACTTGTGCATTGCAATGTACGTGTACAAAACAAGCCATGGCTGATAATATAAATTATTATGGTAAGTCTTACCGTCTTGCTCCCGGCTTGTCCCCACTGCTGGCGATTCTTGCGCTGGTGCAGACTCACATCCACAATTCGCCAGAAACAGGGCTACTACTAGCAGGACTAATCCAGCCATGCCTGTCAATCTATCCAGGGCAGTACGCACACACCATTGCCGTTGGCATTGAAGCTGCACACGTGGGGAACGGTGAACTATTCGCACGATCCCTGAGGCGAGTTCGTTCCCTTGATCTCTTGAGCATGTGCAGGATTTGCCCCCAGGCTCGCTACATTCCTTCTTCATCACTCACCAAATCGCCTGGACTCCTCACGAGCTCGGAGTGGACTGGTTCCGGTTCGATCCACCTTCACGGAGCGTCGGTTCCGGGTTCTACCGAGACCGGTTTTCTGCCGGACGACTTGTCAGAAGCGGGTCTGCTGATATCCGTTTGAGAATCTTGAATAACGCAGGATCGGAGTAGCTGAAGCAGGAGCAGATCTACGAGTAGAAGACAGATGGAGTTCTCACGCCTCGCCGAAGATGGTGCCGGAGCAAGCGGGGATTTCTGGCTATTTCTGTCCGCCTCGATCTCCCGACATTTGCCGAACGCGACGAACTCTAACCTCAGCCGTCACGCTCCGCTCAAAAACTACAAAATGAAGCATCGGAAATGCTAACACCCTCTCACTCTCTGTTCGTTGCCGATGGCCAATCCACGACGTGAACGAAATGTCCTTATCGACAAGTGCGCGAGCGCCGTTGTTGTCCTGAATATGTGGCCTAGCTACTAGCAATGGATGAATAGAACGTCTACATCGACATACGTCGCAAATCACTTCACTTCATACAGCGATACATTCGAAGGAACGAACAGCAGTATCGCTGCCGCGTGTGTAGACGCCATGGTAGTTTCCAACGCGGCAGCTTGCGCTGCAGACTTGGTCAGACAGCACAGTACAGCCAAGAGCGAGGAACTCTTCCAGTGTTGAAGGACGATTCATCGATGAGTGCTGGTGTCAAGAAATCGAATTACACGCTGGGTTTGAAGAGTGGCTGGTTCAGTGGTTGAGACGGTGAATATGGCGAAAAGAAGTGTGCTGGCTGCGTTTCGGTCTTGCCAACAGTTCTGGCGAGCATTCCAGGCGGCGAAAACATCGATTTCATGTCCGACGTTCGCGTGGGTCATCTCCAGAAATACTTACCTGCAACATTGTGAACAAAACACAGCAGGAGTTTTCATTGCCACTTGGTACTACATTGTACTGGGGGGCCAGGGTCGTGGTCGACACTGGTAGTTGCACTGGAAATTCAACAAATTTCTGGACAAGTGTCCACACTCAACATTGACAACAAATCCACCTGCAGGTGGTAGAAGAAATAGAAAAGCTACGACAGTACAGAGTACAGACAGTACCTCGAACCGACCGCATCCAGTGAGCATGGTGAGTGTGTGTACTGAGTCTGTGTAGAGTCTACTGTCATGACAGTCATTGTGTAGTAGAATAATCAGCTACGGAGGTTATGCTATGCTTGAGATTCAAATGGGAAGTAACTGATCACACACTGTGACAGCATGGGTTTTCGAGCCTGATTTCCTCACGCCGTGTGTGGAACTGGAAGAAGAGTGTATTCCTCAGCCATCTGAAATCCATGGTCAAAGATTCAGCCTTGCACTTGGAAAGAACAAAACAATACACACCGCCCACACCACAACTTGCAGGGCTGTAGCCAGGGGATCAGGCCATGCAAGGTAGATTGAAAGTCTGGATACGGGTTCAACATTGCTGTTCCCCAGCAACCAAGCACACTTTGCCACTGACCATGGCTGGCTGGCTGGTGGAAAGGCGTCAAACTGAAACACCCGAAACACCCGACACACCGGCACAGTTAGCCTTACTATTCTATAGTCTACTGTCAAGTGAGAAACTAAAACTTTCGCTACAGATTAAATTTCGCTATTCTCGCGACCATCACACGTTAAGAAATGCATCACACATTCGCGAATATAAATCGCCGTAAACCTCTCCTACATTGATTGTAGACAGTACAAGATCCCGCTGAAGAGATAGAATCGCGAAAGGTTCTCATCGTGAACCAGCCCAATTTATGAAAACGCTAAATTAGCGCGCCAATATAAAGTTTAAACCTAAAATCAAAATTTGAATGAATAGTTATGCCTTGTGGGTCGTCTTCAAAGCTAACTTCAGGACAGGGAAGTCCTGCGACTCACAGTTCGGGTAGAGAATAGGAGTCAGAACAAGAAAAATACTGAAGGCCCTCGATAAGGATCAGAGTAAGAGAGATAGAAAGATAGGTACGGTAGAGAGAGAGACACAGGAGGAGAGAGGCAAGATACGACAGATGAAAGCAGTGATAAACAAGGGAAACATCAAGTGGAGCAAGAGGGCGAATCTAAACCACACAAGTCCTAGTATTAAAGGGTACAAAAGTGCATTCTTCACAGACAACCTACAATACAACAAAAGTACAAGCAGTGCAAAACTAGTGCAGCTTGAGCACTAAACAAGGATAAAAGGTGTAAAAAAAAAAGAGAGTAAATTATCGTGTCCGTTCCTGACGGGAATTCACGACGGCCGCTAACACCCAGTAAACCCTAGCGGCAAATGCAGCGCCTAACGGTAAGGGGATACGTCTCACAAAATAGAAAGAGAGACTAAATGTGCACCGGGCACAGCATGGACGAAGCTACAATTGTTGCGAAAAGGCATTGCTTAAATATAAATACTAAATAGACAAGTTTGCAGTGCGCTACCTGGATGCTGATCAACTGGGGTTCCTTCATGTCCACTACCATTGGCAAGAACAGCAAAGCCAGGATGAACACCAGCATCCTGCATTGTTAGGAGAGAGAGAGAGAGAGAGAGAGAGAGAGAGAGAGAGAGAGAGAGAGAGAGAGAGAGAGAGAGAGAGAGAGAGTGAGTGAGTGAGAGAGCGAGTGAGATAGAGTGTGTGTGTGTGTGTGTTAGAGAGAGAGAATGAGTGAGTGAGAGAGTGAGTGAGTGAGTGAGTGAGAGAGAGAGAGAGAGAGAGAGTGAGCGAGTGAGAGAGAGAGTGAGAGAGAGTGTGAGAAAGAGAGAGTGAGAGAGAGTGTGTGTGTGAGAGAGTGAGTGAGTGAGTGAGAGTACCGTAAAGTACCGCCAGAGCGCCCCACCATCTCGTCCTTTCGTGGCCACCTTGTGGAGGTGGATTCCTGTCTGCAGGTCATACGACACGGACCTTGTACTAACATTGAACATTGTGCAGTCAATCCGTACCCACTTTACCTTCGACCTCCACATAAAAGCATACCAAGTGTGACCTTAGTACACAAAGGTGCTCACATCGTACAAACTTAGTAACATTCTGCCATACGATTTTCTTCCCTTGGCTGTAAAATCAAGGTGGGGCGCTCTCGCGAGACGGGGCGCTCTGGCGGTACTTTATGGTATGTGTGAGAGACTGGCGCATACTGACAAAGGCTGGAAACACGTGACCCACATCTGTATCTACAATACCTTCAGACTAAGCTTTGCTGCTGGGTCCACAGTCACACATGATCAAAAGCCTGGCAGAAGGCAGTGAAATTGTGGCAATACCAGTATGCCAACTGGTCATCACAATACTTGCCTATAAGCATGCAGATGATGTTTATCCCCTGAGCTATGCTATACGCAGAACAGAACCCCACCTGACAATAATACCCAAGGCGCTTCACAAACCTAAACTTGGGTAAGAGCAACAGCAGTACCATGCTGTGTTTACCTGAATAGTGATGTTTGCCTGTGTTGCCTGTGTTGTCTGTGTTGCCTGTGTTGCATGCACCACTGGTCCAAGTGCATTCTCCGTCCGCCCAGGACTGGCGAACACCCTGGCCAAATACGGTGTAGAAGAATGCTCCAAACACGTAGAACACGTTCCGCCATTGGCGAGCTGTCCTGTCAGGCTATATGCACAACAGCAGCACAAGCAGCACAAGAAAAGCAGCAGAGACAGCCGCAGCAGCAGCAGCAGCACAAACAGTGGCAGCAACAGAAACAGCAGCAGAGCCAGCAGCAGAGACCGTGTATGTATGCATGACATATGCTGTAAATTGGTAACCAACGATTTTCTTCCAGATGGCGAGGTATCCGGATAAAAAAAGGAGCGGATAAGCAAGGTCTGACTGTAGTACTGTAGTATCAACTATCAAGCCAAAGCAAGCACTCACAACAGTACATACATGTTCTGCACTGTACAGGTACCATATTTTCCAGAGTACATATATACTGTAAGATATGTATATATAACGAGGAAGCAAATCTAACGTTTTAACGGATGACATTTCTTCGTTATAATAAGATCCGTTGAGGCCATACTGCTTCATATGCTGTGTGTGGATATGGCAGAATACTGCAAGATCGTTAACATATCTTCTCGTTAACCTATGAATTTTGGACAATCGTTAAATTTGCGACTCGTTATAATAACATGTCTTACAGTAAGCTGCAGTGAGTCATCATACCCGGGTGAGTATGATGCCTTGCCCTTACCTGGTACCACAGCTAAAACTATCTCCACTCTAAACTAGCAGAGGTACGGTCCGGGAACCCATGGTCGGCAGTCAAAACTCAGACTCTACCCAAAAACCCAAAACCCATTAGGTACGCAAATGCAGATAGGCGATCAAGCGCAAAGCAATGATGCAAGAAAGAATTAATTTCAGGTCATGTTGATTGCACGTTTGTTGAACAATTTTGTGTCTGGGGTTGCCATGGGAGTAGGAATGGACGAGCGGGTTCTGGGCCAGGGGGCGCCCGGGTCCCAAAAAATGGGGTATTATTGAAAAATGGGGTACTAATAGTACCCCATTTTTGCGGTGAAAATTATTTTTGGCCCGGTTTTTTTGCGGATAAAAATATGTACCAGGGGGTGCCCCTACCTCAAAAAAAAGGGGGGTATTATTGAAAATATGTATTGGGGTGTTATGCTCTACCCTAAACAATAAAGTAATATGGTGTCATCATTATGTAAGTATAAAAGGTGTGTTCTTGAATGATGATCCAGTCAGTTTCAAGTTGTTGTGGTGCAGTGAAAATGGATTCTGAATTTGAGATCCTGTATGCTTATGTACGTTCAAAGAAGCAATGTGTGCTGGAGGAAAAGAAGAAGAAGAAGAAGAAGGAGATAGAGGAAAGTGAAGAAGTGTGTTATCATCGTGAAGAACAAGTTGAGCATGCTGGTCATAGAGTTTGTTCTCAGTGTGGATTGGTAATGGCTGACATTTACATGCCCGAGGTAAAGTGGAGAGAGCGTTGTACTAGCATAAAGACCTACACGGATTCCGATCGCATTCAAGGTGTGAATCGTCATCTTGTACATTTTCTCAACAAGATCGACTTCACTTTACCGCATGCACAGTTTCACCCTGTTCAAGAGGCACTGCAAGCAATGAAGAAGTCCAGCAGCTATAAAAGCATGAACTATGCAATAGCATTATCGTGTATACTTCATGAGGATCATGATGCAGTGCGCACACTGCGATCTTCTTTACCGCGCAGTAATGTATCATGGTTGAGAAGCAGCCGCATTACACAACCTCTTCCATCATGTTTTCCACTGATGTTTCTTCTACATCTCATGGAACACATCAAGGGTCCTCTGTCCGCTAGACAGCTGAACACTCTGAAAGTTAATTTGTCCTTGATGTCACCTGCAGACCTGTCCATGATGCATCTTCTAATAGATGCCTATTGTTGGCATGACTACAGTCTGGATTATTTAGTAGATCACGTGACCTCTCTCCCACCTGATCTTGCCAACATACTCTATCAATTTACCAAGACTGCAGTACGTCATCGATGTTAGCAATGCGTTGGAGATTTACACTCTCGGGAACCTGTTCTGAGACATGGTCGAGACACGTTCAGTCATGACCGAGACATGTTCCGACAGGTCAAGTGCAAGTCGTGCTGTGATTGGTTAAATCTTATCATCTGCTCACCGTGTCCTCTGATTGGTTGATTCTTGAACAATTTCACCGTGTTCTCCAAGGTCGTCACCTCCCATAGGATGTTATTTCAAACTCGGCGGCGGTCAAAAGGGTATATATGTGCAAGCACAGTCCTCCATTCACTCACAACTGCCTTTGTTGTTTCGTTGCTCAAGCCTTCTCTCTCTCTCTCTCTCCCTCTGGATCTCACTGGATCTCTCGTGACTGATATCATGATGGCCACTGATGCTGTTGTTGCTGGTGAAGATGTTGTGGACTGTTTGGGTATTGACCCGTTCGCTATCAAGACGATAAAGAAACCCGGTCTCTACAAGCGACGTGCTAGCCGTAATCCGAATCTGGAGCCTCTGCCTAAGATCAAGATGCCATCTCCTCGTCCTACCATACTACCAGGTGTCGCCACCATTATTACGGATGGGGCAGCAGAGTGTGTTCAAGCAATGTACAGCAAGACCGCCCACGACTATCATGTTGCTCCTGGCACCGATTTCTACTATACGCGCGGTGATTTACCGGGCATGCTTGTCAATGGCACGGTATGTGAAGGACGCTTTGGACAACTTAAGCTGTACGTCCAGGCTTCACAAGACGATCTCATTCAATTCTTCCTGAAGACCTCAACACCTTTGAGACGTGCCGTGAGATCTCCACATATCAACAGGATACGGAGTAACATCTTCCCTGCAATGTACCAAGGGAAGAGTGTGACTGCTTTGTATCTCAAGCCAACCAAGGGTGTTCCCAACTTCCCGATGAACGAAGAGTGTCAGCTCTATCTGCATCCTTCCACTATATCTTTCAACAGGGAGAAGTGCGAATTCAAGGCATGGCTTTCGGCAATCCCCCTGATGTTTGTAGACTCACGGCTTTGTGAAAGGGATCACGACACCGTGCAAGACCTTCCCGAGGCTGAATTGACTCGACTGGTGATTGCATTCCTCAAGAAGTGGAGCACTGCTGACAACGTGACTGCTGACATTGCGTTTGACACAACGGTGGCGGCGGCAGCGTCTCTCCCTGACACCCTACCGGACAATTCACTGGACTTGAATCTGCTAAATGCTTAGTCATCTTACCACATTGATTGATCAGAAAGACTTTATATCCTAACCCTTTTTTTTTTTTTTTTTTTTTTTTTCATGCTCTCTCACTCTCTCTCTCTCTCTCTCTCTCTCTCTCTCTCTTGCTAACATATCATCGCTTCATTAGATTACCACTAGCACACATGAGTATCATAATGATTTATTTGAGAAAGAAAATATTTCCTATCATAATTAGAACAGTGTGTGTGTGTGTGTGTGTGTGTGTGAAGATGGCGTACTGGGCTACGCATTTCCATAGGAGTGATGAGGAGGAGACTTCCCTCAAGCACATGCAAAGCATGCGGAATGATATTACCGAAATACAATCAGTTGTGGGGAACGATGACACCGAAAACACCTTGGTTCATGATGTGGAGAAACTGAAAGAGGTGAAAGCCGATGAGAGCAAAGTGGAAGATGTGGAAAACAGATCTACGCGCTACACAGATCAAGCCATAGCAGCTGATGAGCTGCACGTGAAAACAGATGGATCCGTGTCCATGGATGCTAACCTCAACATGAACGAGCATTCCATCTGTAATTTGGCGTACGATGATAGTTCTTTGACATGTGCTGTCCCTGCCGGTTGGGTCAAGAATGAAATCCAACAAGCATCATCGAGATTGCAAACTGGTATGGACACTGTGCGCAAGATGAAAGGACCTCGTGGTGATCGGGGATTGGGATGGCTTAGCGGAGGTGGCATGCCACTGAACTCTGTAGGGAGAAATGGTGACTTCTATCTCGATGCAACCACGCTCATCGTGTACAAGAAATTCAGCTCGAAATGGAAGGCGTTTGGTCGGCTTCATGGATCAAGAGGTGAAGCTGGTCCACGTGGAGAACGTGGATTGATCGGTCCTGAAGGTGAGACTGGACCTAGAGGAGCTGATGGGCAAGGTGGTGAACGCGGTCAAAAAGGTGATCAAGGAATACCTGGTCCAGAAGGTCCCAGAGGTGAAGTTGGACCACGTGGAGAACGTGGATTGGTCGGGCCTGAAGGTGAGATTGGACCTAGAGGAGAAGATGGGCAAGACGGCCCACAAGGTGAACGTGGTGTGCAAGGTGATCAAGGAACCACAGGTCCCATGGGTCCCCAAGGAACCATCGGTCCAACCGGTCCTCCAGGAAACAGAGGTCCCGTGGGTCTCCAAGGAATCATCGGCCCCATAGGTCCTCAAGGAACCAGAGGCCCCATGGGTCCGCAATCAAATCAGAACCTATCCGATCCGTTTCATCTACTACCTCTCATTCGAAGAAACGCCTACCTCTACATATACTCTCATCCTAGCAGATTTGAATCCGTCACCAGGGTGAGCAGAAACAGATACAGAGGGATAAATCTCGTTGACATGAAGGACAAGAGAATCAACGTGAACAGCATCGACATGTTCCGAGACGATCACTTCTACCTCAACATTACACAACCCAGCGAAGTTTCCATTAGAGAACGATTCGTCAATCTGTTTCACGACAACATGTCTTTTGCAATGTTCCAAGTAATTCAAGTGGACGCACCTGACCCTAGAAACATGGCATTGAAGGCATTCGATATCGATACTGTCGGAAATTTCAGCTTGGATAGTTTGTACGTGTTGTTCACTGCCACCCACATAAGTGGCAACTACTTCACGCGTCCCGGCCATTCATCATTCAACATACCCGTTTCGTCTGTAGTCAGCCAATTATCGGCGGCTTTGGATAAACCTGTGTCGAGTATGACGGATCTCTTGGGTACAAAGTGTGTCATAAGTTACGCTCGGAATTCAGAAGGCCTATTCACTCTATACGTAAACTCCATTTTGATACATTCCAACTTAGACACTGTCCCATTTTCCAGGACCAATGGAATCGAAGATTGCAATTATAGTA